TATGTGTGTGTATGTGTTTTACTTTATCCACCATAACACATAGTCTTCTGATTACAATTAATTTTCTTTGACTTCATATGTTGAGTTGAAATGTAAAAGTATGGTCCATCAGATTCATTAGTCACTGTTAGTAACTAGATTAAGATTGTACACCATCCCCACCAGGAACATGAAACAAGTAGGCCTAGGTGGTAGTTATGATTTACAGAAGAAGTGCAAAACACCACCCCACAGGCTGCTGAGCTAGTTCTTACTATGACAACTTTTTTATTGCTTTTTTTTGCAGCTTTTGAATGCTGGATATGAATATGTGCTGGAAGGATCCGTTTGTTTTCCGGCTGTATTAATACAGAAGGATATACTTTTTTACTGAAAATGGTGTATGTACAAAATTAAAAAATGTTATGCATTGTTTTTTATGGAATTAGTTAACAAAAATAGTTTTTTTTAACTTTTTGTAACTTCTGGTGTGCCTGGTTGCCTAACTGATTAACAATTAAATTATTAAAATATTTTTACTGGAGTGCAGGATTGTTCCTTTAAAACATTTTATTTCTTTTAGGGTGTATTAATAGAATAGAAATAAAATTGAACACTTCACAGCTCACCAAAACAAATAACAGATCCATACAATCCCAGATTACAATTACTTGATCATAATACTACAAATAATAATAACTGCATTTAAATAGCATTTTCCATCCCAAACACACCATGCAAAGTCTGATTTTTATGCACTTAAATGCTCACAAACACAGCAGATCAGGTAGAGAAGTCAGAAATTTACTTCATCGGTTGAAGAAAAGGGGAACTTCAGGTAAACAAAGCTGTTCAAGCCCAACCTGGGATTTATCCAAGTGGTTAGGATTTTAGATTGAAGTTTAATCTGAAGGACAGAACCTCCCGCACCCTGTTCACTATATCGAGGGTATTGATTTGGAGAGTAATCCACTAACATGGCTTCCCTGAGTTTTGACAATGTCACATGACAAGATCAGGCTATATGATGATAATGATGCTGTTACAAGTTTCTTTGTGCTTTTTTATATTACGAAGATCATAAATAAAAACTAGGTCAGCAATTGCTGATCAGCAATTAGTTACAATTAATAATAGGTTTAATGACATGGGAAGGTTGTGAAAAAGTGTCCTTTGAGCACGTGTGGCGCCGTGGTTAGCATTGTTGACTCACAGTTCTGGGGCCCTGGATTCACATCCTGTGGTGCTATCTGTGTGGAATTTATATGGGTTTCCTCCAGCTGTTTAGTTCACAGATATACTGGTAGGTTATTTGACTTCTGGGAAAATTGGCCCTGGTGCGAATGTTTGGGTTTGTGTCTTTGTGTACTCTGCAAAAGACTGGTGTTCCATCCAGGCTGTAGCCTGCCTTGTGCCTGTTGCTTGCCAGGAGAGGTTCGGACTCCCCAGAGACCCTGTATTGGATAAAGCAGTTATAAACTGGATGGATAGACTTCTAAGGTTTCTGTCAAAACAACCTCTTTCCACCAGATGGCAATATTATCACATATTAATGTCCATGAAACAATACAGCCAATACAGAGCTTGTGCCCTCTACTCCTTATCCGTAGTCTCAAATTGGAGTTTGCTTCTGCTTCATCCACTAATAAACCACATTTAAATTCACATTAAATTTAAAAAATAATATTTAAGCAAATAAATTGTCATAATTTCTTGCAATTATATAGCATGTTTCATCCCAAAGAATCTTTAAAACTTTGCGCATTGATTGGGATTCACTTTATGGTCCTCTGATTTGCAGAACCATGCTGGGGAGTCATTATGCATCTACAGCATCAATATTGGGTTCACGTGGGTAGGTGTCCTCACTGCTGCCACCTCAGATCAGCCCCCCCATCTCTGGGGACTCGAGAGTTACTCAACAGGGACCCAGCCAGTTGAGTTAATGGGAAATCTCCCATCAGCCCAACGGCTGCGGTCCCTGCTATTCACAGGGAAGGGCAGTGACGTCACCGCGCTGGTAAACCGGCTCGCACAACCTGCAATGTTGGCCGTATGCGTTACACTCTCCCCTGCTTAATTCACTGTCCTCGGTGAAGGGCTATCCCATCCCGCTCCTGACACCAATGTAATAGTTTTGGGTTTGCCGAGGATGGACTCAGTGACTCAGACACTTGTGGAATAAAGAAAACAGCACTTTCATTGAACTTCAGTACAGCAAGCACAGCACTCCTGCACCCATGCGACAGCAGAGAAAAATACAGACTGAAAATGAGAGAGAACGAGCAAGTGCCAGAGAGAGACAAGAAAGAGAGAGCATCACACTGGGGTCTACTTGGGTAGCTACACAGGGATAGGGTATCAATTGGATACAAGTATAACAGGGGTGCGAAACTAGGGAACTATTTACAAGAATGCGGGCAATCTCATCACACTGTACGCCCATTTCGCAGTGGGTCAGCTGCACTGATCAGTGGCTTTCCTCATCCCCGCCCTGACCACTACTACTCCCGTCCTGCCCCTCGCCGTGTACCCCAGCCAGGCGCTCGTGACTACACAAGGCCTAGAGAGGAATTTAGCGTGGACACCAAGGTGAATGGCCCTATATTCTTTTGTTGCTACAGCCATGGGATGTGCCATGATGCCATAGACAAGATATCGGTTTTAATACCATATGAACAACACCTACATATACAACAGCATGGAAGTCTATGTAAACCACAGAAGGCTATTGGTTTGGAAATTCTGGCCCAGAGGGTAGAGAGTCACCTATACTGACCAGTGTTTGTCTGCCCACACTACTTGCAGCAACAAACGTTCCTTTGAGGCTTCTCATCCCTACTGACCAGCCCCAGCATAACTTAATATCTCAGATCAGGCTGCTAGATTATATCGCTGCTGCTAATGGATCTCATATAGGAAAAAATCAAATCAATATTTACCTTCGGGCACCATAGTGGCAAAGTGGTTAGAAATGATGCCACACAGCACTGGGACTCTGAGTTCATTTCCTGGGGCTCAATCTGCATGGAGTTTGTATGTTATTCTCATGTTTTTGTGGGTTTCTTCTGGATGTTCTGATTTCCTCCCACAGTCCAAAAACACTGGTAGGTTAATAAGCTTCTAGAAAATTTGGCTCTGGTGTGAGTGTATTTGTATCTGTGTATACCCTGCCCAGCAATGGACTGGTGTCCCATCAATGGGATACTGGTGTATCCTGACTTGTACCCGTTTGCTTGCTGGAATAGGCTCTGGCTCCTCCATGAGCCCTCTATTCAATGAAGTAGTTAGAATATGATTGGCCGGAATGCTTACTTTCAAGCTTACCATTAAAGTGGGTGTTTTTGCAACAGGGACGCAGAAGCAATTTAGGACCCTGGACAATCTTGGAGACTGTCCAGGTGGACTCCATATGGAAAGGGAAACCTTCATCATCTCCTGTAAAGTGCATACAATGAACACTTGCAGAGTGGATCTGCTCTGACCTTATTTCAGCAGTGGATCTCATGACCTGCAGCTGTGCTTTGGAATATTTTGTGATTAATGGGAAGAATTGTTTATAATGGTTCTACAGTATAACTTGAATGTATATTTCATTTGTGGATCCTCTCTTGGATATGGATTTCTTGGAGAGGTAAAAAACCACACTACATAATCCAGTACCTGAATACAGGGGCACACAATACTAGCTACATCTGAAATAAAAGTATGACACCACAACGTAGGCACTCACCGAGTCCTGCATTGGACATCAGGTGTCTCTTGTTTAGAAATTTAGCAAGTATATATTTTAGCAAGCAAATGCAGACATTTCACCATGTATCAAAAGGTGTTATCGTGATGAAGCTGGAGAGAAAGGATTTATTTCCACATTACGGGAAATTTACCATGAAAAGAAAGAATAGGTGGATGACTTGAAAATAGAGTGATACAGAATGTATTGTTACCAAATTCATCTGGACAACAGACAGGAAGCCGTTTCAGGACCTATAACAGGTAAACCCAAAATGTTTTCTTTTTCATGCCAAACAAAAAAAAATACTTCTATAATGAACCAATCAGATCCCAGACCCAAGTCAAAATATCTTCAAAGCAAAACGAGCAAATGGGCTCTCGTTATATATATCGTTAATGGTTTCGCCTATGTTCTGTTTCCGTGTAAGAAAGAAGGTTACAGAAAGCCGCAGTTAATTAAATTTCTTTAAATCACAAGCAGTTTAAAATCAGGTGTGGTAACAGTATTTACCCAGGGGAGAGGTCAAGTGTTATACGATAAAGATAACGAGAAAACCGAACACAAATGCCGCTTGAGGAGTTCCACTTTGGATTTCTGGTTACAGTAACTGATGGAAAAAAAAAACATTCTAAGGATACTTGTGAATTGGGTTGTTTAAGCATAATCGACGTCCCATTGAAAAATCACTTTTTCCACTTTTTTGTTGTGAAACATGCTTGTGAATTATTGTTGAGGTTTCCTTTATTTATTTGTACTAGTATCTGCACTGAAATACCCTTTTATGCGCAAGGCTTATTACAGATTTATTTTAACGTATAATAATCGTGTCCTGGTTTTCTCTCTAGGCTTGTCCGAGTCTAGAGGGTTAAAATGTACTCTAGTTAAAAAAGGCACATCTATATTTTGCTTTAGGCTGAATGCTGTTTGGGTTATTGTATCATTTAAAAAGCTTAACAGCCTAATATACTGTATAAGAAGCTAAAATACATTAAAACAGACCATCTTACCCCGTTTTTTACATTAACAAGAAATTTGTAAGACGTTGTAAATTATTGTACAAAAACCTTTAATAAAAATACTTTTTATCTCATTATCAGAAGAGAATCAGATAGGTTCTGCACTTAACAACAAGAGCCGCGCATATACATGTTTGCGTCTGACCAACGTGATGCATCAAGGAGTAAATATCGAAATAACGCTGTTAATTTTCCTCCCCCTGTTCAATCTGCCTGCATTTCTCCCACCCTCTTATCCTGGGTAATGGTTCTCCCCCTGTCTGGCTGCCTGTTACTTTGCATCCCCCTCCTCCTTTCCCCAGGCAGACAATGTCCCTCCCTCACAACAGTTCAAATACACTGCCGTCGATTTCAAGCGCACAGAGTTACACATGGTGCTCTGAGATCGCTGATGCAGCCTTCAATGTGAAGTGGTTAATAGCGGCTGGACCTAAGCTACTGTACCCAGAGCTTTCCTTAAGGCAAAGGTAAAGGACTTCGGGATCGACTTCGCCGATTTTGGTCAATTCGATGCTCTACGAAGAGAGCTCAATACTCAGCATAAGAAGCGAAAGGGATAGAAAAGATCCCAGCTTCCCGGCAGACTTTCCTGATTGCAAACGGAGGCTGGACTAGGACGGAGACTACACCAGACTCGGATCTTTTTTCTGAACTGGCATGGTTGAGAAATAAAAAAAAAAGCAATTTCCCCTGCTGTTATCCATACAGGTAAGATTTAAAAATGTCGACTAGCTTTTTAATTGAATGCGTATAATGACTGAAAGCTTGGAAGTTTGCTTTCCGGTAGCAACACGTTTGGTAACTGAGCAATTGCAGAGCCGATTGAGTTTTCTCCTAAATTATAACAAAGTTGTTATACAGCGCCACATCAAATATTTGTTTAAATTACACAATAATCAGTATGTTGTTCACAGTCCAATCTACATAGTTTGGAATGGTCTTTACATTAGAGCTGTAAAATATGTTCGCGTAGTTACTTTAAACAACGTATTGGTTGTATTGTCTGAAATTAATAAAAAAGGACAGAATTAACATAAATCACTTGCAGATTTCCTACGGCACAATTTTGTGTTGATGTCAGCGTTACAAATCTTTCAATACAAAACATGTTATGGCTCTGAATTTCTTTTCTCGCGTAATTGGCTTTCCTGTTCAACAGCAAATTAAAAGGCTAACACGTTTTTGAGCGTGCAGGAGTTAGAAATATATATATTATTAATGCCAGTACAACATCTTTGGTGTGTGTTATTGTTCATTTGTAATAATGGTCTCTGGCGTTAAAAACGAAAACGCCACGTAAAGTGAAATTGTGGCAGAAACATTTCTGGTAGAATAGTATCTTACTTCCAGTGTAGGAATATTATAGTACCCAAGTAAAAACAACAGAAACACATGGTAGGAAATAAATGAGTGTTGTTAACCACTTACCTAAAATATTTTTGAATAACCTTTAGTTTTAGTTTGTTTGAAATTACCTTTAAAATTGTCAGTACTGAAACGGATTTGTTCGGTTTCAGGAGCACTCACTGAGGCCAGCTTTTCTAGAATCGAGCTATGTTGACTGAGCAAAACGGGCAACTAATTGATAAAATTGTATAATGTAAATAGTAATATAAATAATTGCACAAGTGTATAACCAATTCGTTGCCGCATATTAAAACTCTTATTTGCTCTAGAGGATACATTTTCTTATAACCCCATCAATAAATTCTCTATGCTGTACCTGATACAACAGCGATATTATAAATTAATCGTACGTAATAGCCTATATATGAACAACAAGAACAGACGGGAAAATTAAAATTCACAGCAAGGGACAAAAGTCGCAGCTGTGATGAGAATCTTAAACCAAAGAAAGTATCGATCACTTTCGCATTTATATATGCGACACTGCTAACCAAAAAGCAATATTATAATTTTATGCAAATTATGACGTACGTAACTTGCTTCACTTGCAGATTACTTTGAAAAAACATGTATATTGTTAATTATCCCAAAGGATGGCGCTGGAATTATTACTAGAATAAAAATGTACTATTGTCTTGTAAATGATGAGGTCTGTCCTCCGCCGCTATGGAGCTTAAAATTCTTAGAACAACTTCCTTGAACCTGTCAGACAAAGCTGACAGCGAGCTGGAAATGGGTGACGTTAGAAAGAATAGTATGAATAAGGAAACACACAATTATCCTAAATTCAAATGTTGGCTTCTTGTGAAAAGTCTTTTGGATCGGCGTCGGCTTTTGAGCACCTGGTAATGATTACAATGTGGCGCATGCACTTGAAAAGATCAGAGCTGGTTACTGGTGGTTGTGCGGGATTACATCATACAGAGAGATACTTTAACAGATGTTTTTTTTTCTTGCTCTAATCACCCCTTTTGCTGCAGTCTCTGCTTAAAGATATTTCACGTCTGCCTTTCCATTTTTTTTACAAAGTGTCCAGCGTCTATTTGGAGGAACTTTCCTGAAAATGCTGTGAAAGTATGAGAATTGTATTTAAATTGTTGTGGGTCTAATTTCATTTCTGTCTTTTGGTTACCTTTTAGGATTCAATGAAAATGTCAGTTTATGTCCATGAGAATCGCAAGTCCCGAGCCAGCACAGGCTCCATGAATATCTACCTGTTCCACAAGTCCTCTTATGCTGATAGCGTCCTCATGCACCTGAATGCTCTCCGGCAGCAGAGGCTCTTCACTGATGTCCTTCTCCATGCTGGCAGCCGCTCTTTCCCTTGTCACCGTGCTGTCCTGGCTGCCTGCAGCCGCTACTTTGAGGCTATGTTCAGTGGGGGGCTGAGGGAGAGCCAGGCCAGTGAAGTTAACTTCCATGACTCCATCCACCCCGAAGTGCTGGAGCTGCTGCTCGACTATGCCTACTCCTCGAGGGTCATCATCAACGAGGAGAACGCAGAGTCGCTGCTGGAGGCAGGGGACATGCTGGAGTTCCAGGACATCCGTGATGCGTGTGCCGAGTTCCTGGAGAAGAACCTGCACCCTACGAACTGCCTGGGAATGCTGCTGCTGTCAGACGCCCACCAATGCACCAAGCTGTTTGAGCTCTCTTGGGGAATGTGTCTTAGCAACTTCCCCACCATCTGCAAGACGGAGGATTTTCTGCAGCTGCCAAAAGACATGCTGGTCAAGCTTCTCTCCCACGAGGAGCTGGAGACGGAGGATGAAAGACTGGTGTATGAGTCTGCCCTAAACTGGGTGAACTACGACCTGGAGAAGAGGTACTACTTTCTCCCGGAGCTGTTGCGCACAGTCCGTCTTGCCCTTCTGCCTGCTATCTTTCTGATGGAGAATGTCTCCACAGAAGAGCTTATTAACAAGCAGCCTAAAAGCAAAGAACTGGTGGATGAGGCTATTCGCTGTAAGCTAAAGATCTTGCAGAATGATGGTGTGGTCACAAGTCTTTGTGCTCGGCCACGGAAGACTGGCCATGCCCTCTTTCTGTTAGGAGGCCAGACCTTCATGTGTGATAAGCTCTACCTGGTGGATCAGAAAGCCAAAGAAATAATTCCGAAGGCTGACATCCCCAGCCCTCGTAAGGAATTCAGTGCCTGTGCCATTGGCTGCAAGGTTTATGTCACAGGAGGCCGTGGATCAGAAAATGGGGTATCCAAAGACGTCTGGGTCTATGACACCTTGCATGAAGAGTGGTCCAAGGCTGCCCCCATGCTTATTGCCAGGTTTGGCCATGGCTCTGCTGAGCTTAAACACTGTCTGTATGTGGTAGGCGGACACACAGCTGCCACAGGGTGCCTCCCAGCATCCCCGTCTGTGTCGCTGAAGCAGGTTGAGCAGTATGACCCAGCGATCAACAAGTGGACGATGGTGGCACCTCTTAGAGAAGGGGTGAGCAATGCGGCTGTAGTGAGCGTCAAGCTGAAGCTATTTGCCTTTGGGGGGACAAGTGTGAGCCATGACAAGCTACCCAAAGTGCAGTGCTATGACCCACTGGAGAACAGATGGACTGTACCAGCCACCTGCCCACAGCCCTGGCGCTATACAGCTGCAGCTGTGCTGGGCAACCAGATTTTTGTCATGGGAGGGGACACTGAATTCTCAGCATGCTCTGCGTACAAGTTCAACAGTGAGACCTACCAGTGGACTAAAGTAGGTGATGTGACTGCAAAACGCATGAGCTGTCAAGCCGTGGCTTCTGGTAATAAACTCTATGTTGTTGGTGGTTATTTTGGCACGCAGAGATGCAAAACTCTGGATTGTTATGACCCGACACTGGATACGTGGAACAGCATTACCACTGTGCCGTATTCACTCATTCCAACAGCTTTTGTGAGCACCTGGAAGCATCTTCCTGCTTAGATATGGCATGAAATCTTAAAGGTAGGAAATGCAGATTATTTTGTATTAAAGGGTATTTTGGTCATCATAATATTATTACTACCTCTTGATAACAAGTTTTATATAAAAACATACATTTAGAACATTTATATCTGGTAACAGTGAGTCATACTCCCACCTTTACTGGCTAATTAAGAATTAGAAAAGAGCTGGTAGCAGTTTTTTTTCTAAATGTAACATATTATCCTCTCTAATATAAGGTTTAGAATGAATTGCATTCTTTATGAAATTGCACTGAGACCGAATATTGAGATGAATGTGGATCACTGATAAGATAAAATGTTACAGCTCATTGTTTGCTCAATTTTTGAGGGGGACAGAAAAATACAAAGTATGTGGACAATATATGGTCAAATATGATCTTTAGCAATGCACATTTTAAACGGGGTCAGAAGTTAATCTTACCTGTCTGACTCCTGGATAATTTAAACTGTTCAGTCACGTTTAAAAAGAACTGCAGCATCTCACAAGATCTGTATTTCCTCAGTAGATTTCTTTATCTTACCGTGGCCTCATAGAAAGCAGAAATACTTGTTTAAAAAGGTGCACATTTTATGAAATGTGTAGGAAATGTTAGAGTAGATTTTGATGTCCCCCTTTTGTTTCAGTTGAGGTTGATTCATTCAGCATAGCCTGCAGCACTCTTGACTGCATTCATTCATGGAATATAAATTCTTCATGGCTTCGCTTTATGAGTCAGGTCATCACTGAAGAACAAAGCTTACTCCTACTGAAGGTACAAATTCACTATCAGTTTAGATTCCCTAGAGGCCTTGCCTGCAATTTGGTTTGTATTTATTGGAGGATTAAGAGTTCACTGAATTATGAGACAGAGGGGTTAGTCAGAGGTTAATCAAAATACCAATTAGATATGCAATAAGTGAGCTATTTTTTGCCAGATGTAGCACCCTGGTAGATTAATACAATATCAGTCTCCTGCCCTTGATTTGTTTATGTCCTAAGCGTGGGTAGAAAGACCACTATTGACAAAATTTTAACGGTCCACCAACTGAGTGAAATTTTCTAATAGACTCATTTTGAAGTCAAATTAGCAGCCCTTTGTCCTTGAAGTGCAGGCTGGTGGTGGCGGCTGTGCTAGAGAAAAGGCTGGGGTAGGAGTTGATGTGGGGAAAAAGAGAGGATTTCTGAACAGTGACAGCTTTGGGCTGATAGAAAGCAGATCAGGTTGCCTGTTGTGCTGGCAATGGTGGTTTACTGGACAAGCAGCCCAAGCTACTTCCCAACTCAACCAGTCTTCACACTGCGCTGTTTCGCCCTGTTTGATCATAGTAAACCGACTGAATAGAAGCACATTTGGCAACATTTTTAACGTCTGTTTCCGATTTGAAGAATCGCAGTGTCTATTGTGGAAGAGGAGAGGGATTGAGAATGCAGTCTAAACGGTTATTTTAAGACCGTTCTTCTGCAAAGTTTATCCACAGAGTTGTTTTTCTCTTCACACTCCTTTGAAGTGAAGCCAGTTGTGATAACATGTGAAATTGGGAATTGGGATTTAAAACACTAAAAGAATATTGGTGCTCTTTCTTCTTTTACTTCATAAAGGCACTTTATTTTTTCCAAAAAAAATAATCATAATTCCAGACACTTCTGTCCATGCCGCATTTTTTGCTTATATTTATGAATATATAATGTTACTATATTATTACGTATACTACATTTATTAATTTAAGAATGGTTACAAACAAGAGGAGAACATTCTGACAATCTAGCCCATTTGATAGTAGAAAATTGATACCAGGATCTCATCCAAACCTTGCTTGAGAGAAACTAGCTTCAACAACACAGCTTGTTCCAGTCTCCCACAACCCTTTGGGTAAAGAAGTGTCTCCTGCTCTTGTTTTTAAATGCACTTCCATGTAGTTTCTTTTTGCCCTCTGGATCATTTATATAGCTTGCCTTCTTTATAGTTTTATAGCTTTTATTTTTTAAACATCAGAATGTAACATCCTATGTTTTTTATAAAACACATTGGCAAAGCACAACAAAGATAATTGCACAACTTACTGGTAAGCTAAAATACACTGGGATACGTGACCCATAGGTTGTATGTGCATGTGCACTCCTTTTTGAGGATGCCAAGGATGTGGGTTAGAATTCCACTGGTAGATTAGTTTGCATTTGGAATGTTGCCCACCTAGGTTGACAGTAAATTTAAAAACAATGGTTCCTTTAGTGGGGGCTATTAATTATCTTAAAACAGTGGCTAGAGGCCACAATGAGACCAAAGAACAATGTTGTTATCCTCTCCTCTGAAAGCTAGTTAATAGGGAGAGGAATGGGAAATAGCTCCTATTGACTTTCGGTTTTAATGCTGATTTTGGGGCATTTGCTCTTCTCTGTCTGAGAAAACAATTGCTTTGACCCACCCCCCAGCACATTCCCTCATCAAAAATAAGTTTTTTTTTTTTCTGGAGATGGCAGGCTTTCAAGGTTCTTGAACGTACACCTGTATATTTACACCCATTGTTAGTAGGTTAGTAATGGCAAGTCATTTCTGTGGTACCTTTATTTACCTTTATTTGTGTAACAGAAGGGGTGTTTTTGTTCACTTTTGTTTTCCCCTAGGGAAGCTGGAAATGGAAATTGTTTGCTAATTGCTATTCCTGCTTTGCAACTTTGAGACAGATACTCAGCCTTTTGCCAAAGATAGCAAATCATTTTTATTACCCCAAATTACCAGTGCTTTAGAAAGCCAAGCGGGATACACAAGGAGGAAGCATGCTCATTGTAGAGCCCATTGTGTTCTCTGAGTAGCAGGCAAACAAATCTCTTTTTAAACCCAGACCACACGGGGAGGCTAAATACTATAAACAATATTACATTTTGACATGTGCATTATACAGTTCTTCTAGTGCTGGTGGGAGTATTGGATTTGCCAATATTTAGAAGAAAAAAATGGTTTGAAATCAACTGTATTGAAGGTTGAATTCAAAGGGGTATGCCCGATGTCAGCATATGTGCACATGTCGAGAGCCAAAATAATATAGCTGTGCATAGAACAGTCCTGTGCTCAGGTAATGTCTGAAATGTCAGTCTCCCCCCCCCCCCCCCCCCTTTCGATTGTGTAACAGGTGCAAATGTGGAAAAAATGAACTATCAAAAAAAAAAGTGTACAGACCGGGAAAGTCTGTGACACTTCAGATGTGCCTATGCAATTTATGGATAGTGGTTTGGAAAATGAATGGAATCCATTCCTTTTAGGAAATTTGAAATACTTTGAAATCTATAACTGCTACTATTAACATTAGGTGTTGAAAGGCAGAGGTGAAATGAGTTTCATTCCCTGTGAATGAGTGGTTTATTTCTTATTACAGCAGTACAGGGGATAATGTGTAGCACTCTACACAATCAGTTTCTTCCTTTTATATTCTGCCTTCACTTTCTGTATTCACTTAATATTTTTGAGAAATCATTTTGTGCCACATGCTATACACATTGGACTTGATATAAACGCATTGTTTTTCTGTATGCAGAATATGAGCTACATTGAGCTGTTTTCTTTTGTCTCCTCAGATTTTTCTGTGTTCGCAACCCATCTGCTGGATTTCAACTGTGAAGAAGCGCACTTTTCCATTTGGCATGAAGGATGAACTAAGAAATTGAAGGCTGGGTGTGTGTGTGTGAGGGGAGGGAGGGGGTGGGGAGTTCATGAAGAGGATGTTTTCACTCGGAATGTCCGTGTCACAAACTGGACGTGAAGGACCAGTCCCTTTCTTACATGCTTTTAGGCATTTTAGAGGCATCAGCATTGTCTACGTGTGTGCAAACGAAAACAGTGTTTTTGCAAAAGCTGTTGTAATCAAAGATTAACGTCAACTGTAATCAGTCTCCACAAAGAAAAAAAAAGGCGCAGAGGTTTTCAGTGCTGCAGACCAAGTTGCTTGCATTTTCCATTGACTTGACTTTTCCGCTTGTGCGTGAGATTTGAAATGGCTTTCACTTCGCATTGTGACAGTTTGAAGCACCACCGTCAGCTGTGGGGAAGCAGAGGTCTGCCCGTCGCTGGAGTGTCAGTTTGAGTGAAGATACAGCTGAATCTTTGTTGCTTCCTAGCAGACAAAAATATTATCTCATTGTGGACGTTGTGAGACTGAGCTATATGGTTTGAAGGGACAAAGCCCAGCAAGTGTTTTTAAAACACCATGAAAGACCGAAAGGGGCCAATGTTCTAATCCATAGTAAAAAAAAAAAGTATAAAGGTCATTTTTAAAGAGCATAATACTTGTCTGAAAATACTGGCTTTAATGTGTGTTTTTATTTATATACAAGTTCTGTTTTTTTATTATAAGAATATATTTTTTCCTAGTTCATTGTATTTATTGTTTTGCTGCTTGTGTTCACACACAACATCCAGAGGATTGTGTAGTACATTGCATGGCCACCTTTTTTGTTTGTTTGGCTGGGCTCAATCATTTTGCACATTTTTGATGTCTTGGACGTTGAAACTGCAGTTTTGTAAGAAACGCTTATCTCTGTCCCCTTTGCCATAGGGCAAGGCCTCCAACCAGGAGAGGATGTGAGGTTGTTAGGGTGTCTCAGGAATCAAGCAGTCGGAAATGGAAGGATTACAAGGCCAGGAACTTCAGTGGCACCAGTCGGAAAAAGCCTGATTCTAATCGTCAAAAGTGGCTTTCCAAAGCCAGCAGGCAGCAGGGCTGTACAGCATGTCTAAGGATGAAACTGAGAAAGGTGCACTAACTCAAAAATGAGAAAAGGCCTAGACTAGAATTTCTAGGATTAGTGCTTGCTTCAATAAAGCTCAGTTCATTGATGGCATCTAACCCCCCCCAACCATCTAACCTCTTATGAACTGAAAAGGAGGTGAAACCACCAATTGATATGAAGATAACATAGAGTGTAATGACTGAGACCATAATATAGTCTAGAAAGGAGAAAAGGAAGCTTATTCATTGCCTGCAGTAGAAGATGAGGTCCAGTTTGGCAGGAATATTTAGGAGTGATGGGGAAGTAAAAAAGAAGTAGTCAGATGATTCCAGCAGGAGGAAATAAGATTGCAGTTTTTGACTGGCATTTGGTGGGAATGAGTTTGTGGCTCGCTGCCAGTAGTGTACAGGACTGGAGGCTGGTACTCTCTGATAGAGTACATCATATGATGAGTGCCACAGAATGTTTTGTCTTGAGAAAACCACATTCTTTTGGCGTCGCAGCAGTGTTGGTTTATTCCTTGATGTTGACTGCACCTATACCAAAAAGAAAAGAAAAAAAGGCTAACCTACAATGCATATCATGTCTAAACGGGAATCAAGCATCAAGCTGAGTAAAAGCTCTATTGTAGGAAAAGAAACGTAATCAGAATATAACGAAAACTTTTTCCGTATTTTATAAACACATCTGTCTGTTTTTGCCTTGATGTCACTATGATTTATATTGAGACTTCCAGTTTGTTTCATTATAGTATTCAGGCCTATATGCTACACGCATAGCTATGCATTCTGCTCTAGTTTATTACTCGGGGTGAACCAGGGGTGAACATGAATAATAGTCAGGGAGTATTTTTTGTTGTAAGATGTTTTGTAGAAGAATAAGTGAAGAAAGTATGGAAAACAACAGAGAAGTCTGACATAAATTTTACTAATGTAAATGGCAGTGAAGTGTGAATATTTTCCAAGGCACTTAAACATTTAAACACAGACATCATTAAACTCTTATGAGTGCAGAGAAAAAAATAAACTGAAGTAATAAGATAAACTAAGATGAGGATTTGGGATTTGTTTGGTACCAAGAGGTTCATGAACATCTCTGTGATGTTAAAACCCAAAGTTGGCTCTCTAAACGATTAAGTGGATATTTTTGTCAGAAACAATTGGATGATGGGTTTTTTTGTGTGTAGCTGGGTAAATGTTTCATCACCTGTCTTCCTTCAAACTCTTGCATTGCAGAGTTTCGCTGTTCAATCCATTTTCTTTAGCAAAAATAACATTGTTTTTAACATAATAGAACAAAAATGCCAAAACATCTAAACAGAATGTTGAACCTAATTGGAACGTGATGACACTTCGTCTTGCGGTGTGTGGGCTGGCTATATCAGCTCCCAACAGGTGGATGCACATGAGGACCCCTGTTTTATGGAAGTGATGTGGGAATTCTGGCATGCTGTTCAGCCACTCCAAATTTGCAACACCCCTTGTTTGAAACCACAAGCAATTCACAGCACACTGCACTTCAAAACCATGACATCAGATAAGGGGGTTCTTCCTATTTTGTCCATGAGTTGCCTTAGAAACACTTAACAAAGGACAGCCTTCCATTTCCAGTGTAATTGTGAGTGTTTTTTTTTCACAAGGCCTGACACCTGTCCGAGTAAGACCGATTAGAGATGAATAATGTCTTTGCCCTGACTGAGTTAGATGAGTTTCAAAAATATGTTGGTGCACGAACTGACAATGTATTGGTGTTTTTATTTTTCTTCTGTTTGTGGACTACTGCTGTTTAATATTATTTTGTAAAAGTGGAGTTTTTTTTCACAATGTGAAATTCATGGCTAATAAACTTTGAGAGTTTTTCTCTTTACTATAAATAGTCTTGTTTTCTTTTTCATTTACAGTCTTGGTTTTTACTGGCCATGCAATATTTACCATGCTGAAATCTTGCCTTATGTATCCCCTTAAAGTGATAAAAGGTAGACGAAATGTTTCCCTTTTCAATAATTTATTTTTAAAATTCTAAATAAATCATATTCATATATCTTATTACATATTTTTTTATTTCTTCAATTCATTGTAAGGTTATTTTAGTATAAAAAGCACTGCTTTGCTGAACTTAAATTCTCAAGTTCTTAAATTCTTAAGAACTTAAATTACGTTTTTTTCTAATAAATGTGGGGCCATTTCCACTTAATACAATAACTATTGCACAGCTACACTGCACAATAATGTAATTTTTCAGAAAGAATGTATATGGTAACAAATATGTTGGCATTAGCCTAACAGTTTTAAGGAATAATGAAAAAGAACAGTGCCATAACATATGCAATTCTATTTTAAATACAAACCTTATTAGAGTATGCATTTCTATGCAGTTTTATGGACTTATTTGTTTTCTCTCACTTATTGCATGCTGTAAATTATTGTCTTTTTGTTCTATAATTGGGTAACTGAAATAATCTTATCTAGGCCCAGCTTTAGTGAAGCATAGCTCTTTAGAACTTGGCAAGCCAAGCCAAACAGTTGCCTTTTTTATTGAGTCGCCTTGGCAACCATAACCTTTATCTGTTAACTGTGGGGGATGAATGAGAACATGAAATTTCATAAAGCCCCTTCTTCAATTTTCAGCTCTAAGTTCCATCAGCCAGCTGTGAAATGTCTCTTTTTGGAGGATTCCTGTTTCCAAAGTCAGGACATTTTTTTACTACATTAATTTTACAATTGTACACGCTGAACAAAGTCTTGGATGGAGTCTTATTTTAAAGCAAGGAGAGCTTCCAGTTTCGCTAAACATTTTTTTAAGCTTTTAATAGTAAGCTATATTTTGAAAGGTATGATGATGAAAGTTTACTCATTATTCTCTGAACTTTGTATAAAAAAATGGCTATGTAAGTGCTTAGCTCCTGAAATCAATTAATGATTTAGGAAAACCAGTTTTAATTATCTCTAAAAACTGTAATGCCTCTTGTTTTATCCTTTACTATAGGTGAAGTCTTCGCCTCCCTTTGTTTCATATAGTGTGGAGAATGAATCAGGCTAAATGTTCTGTAATAGACTGGGGAGCAAAGTCTTTCAAGTATGACTCCTCCATTTGTTGGAGTGGCATTTACCAATGAAATATGAATTTTCTAAACATCTATGCACCTTCAAATAAGGATTGCCTTCATTCTAGTGCTTCTATACCTGCTGCTGACAGACCTGTTCAACTGAAATTTTTACATTTTACATGGAGTTTGTTTTGTAAAATAATAATCGAGCAGTAATTCTTCATTTAAACATACAGTAAAAGGCAGTTGCGTAAAAGAATGATTTCTCATTTACAACATCGATCGGTCCAGTAGCCTTAAACAAATGTTACACAGTAGACAAAGCATTGTAAGATAGATCAGTAAAAAAAATAAAAATATAACAGCACAGAAATAGCAGGACAAGGTATTGTTAATAACTGCAAGTGTTAGACAAAATTTGTCTATGAATTGAAATATGTCTATGAAAGAAAATTGTCTATGAAAGATATGAAAGGGATATTAGGAGCATAGGAATAAAGGTTTATGTCACAAAAACAAACTCCACTTAATTGGTATTAAAAGCTATTGATGCAAATATGGCTCACTGGGACTGAGCATCAACACTACTGTTCTGTCTCACGGTTTGAATTTTTGCGACTTATAGCTCAATTTCTGATACTAACATCGTAGCACAGTGAGAACTAATTTGTGTCTCTCCTGCACTGCATTCTTTCATTAACGTGAGGAGCCTACTACTGCAGAACATATACAACCCTCCTTAACATAGTTTTGTTTTCAAAATGTGTATCTGCCTAATGTTCTTTACAAAATAGCTCTGTAACATTATTTTCCCAGAAGTGTTGGCAATGATTTAAATAAGCTAGAATAAAATGAATGGGATGTTAAACCTATGAATTGACTCTATCCTTAGTACTCTGCCTGTTTTGTACATCCATAGATAACACACCTACTTACCCACAGCTGCTATAAGCATCATTATTTTTTATTAATTTGTTTGGCAGTTGGTTTTATCCAAAGTGACTTATATTTGTACCCACTGATAGAGTTAAATATTTATTAGAGCAATCCGAGTGCACTGTCTTGCTCAAGGGTGCAACAGCAGTGACTCACCTGGTATTTGAACTCACAGTTCCAGTTACAAGTCCAGAGCCAAAACTACTTTAGCACCTATGAAAACTACTTTTAGCATTTCCCTGTATTTGTTTTCACTAGGCTTATTACCTTCCAGCTAATAAATGCAATATACACAAACTACATTTTAGAGCTAACAGGGTCTATCAGTCATACTTCTGATTGAAGAACTCTGCCTTTAATATAACTACCAATGCTACATTGCTTTTATTCTTAATTACAATAGCTTTTTGTTAATGGTGTGATTAGTTTAAATATTTCTGCACATACTATGAACATGACTATTGGTTTCCTAGTGGTGGACAGTCCTCAGCAATTTGTATGCAATAGATCAGTTTCACAAAACAAATAAAAGCTATCTGCAGATACATAGGAAAGTTGACATAATAATGCAAATAAGGAAGTTAGGAAGCGTAAATTAATTGCCAGTGTTTTAAGGGCGCTGGCTTGAGGTCTGGCTCAGCTGTTGCTTTTTTTCTGTGCAATTTTCCAGGCTCACTGAAATCAAAGAGAAAAAGTAAGAAGAATATATCTTTTGAATTATTTTTTTAAAAAGCAGAATGGTGTCCCTTTGAGGAAGGTTTGCTGACACCAAGAAAAGAATTATGGGTTTCTTAATAAATGTGATGGCGAACTTTGCAAACATATCCCTGACCGGACGGAACCTTGCACTTTATGCAATGAGTTGGAACCGTATCCCAATCATCCTAAGGGGTATTTAAGAATATCAGGAACTGTTTAAAACAATCAGCTATGCAAAAAAATGACAATGTGTTAATACCAGACAACTAAATATCTGTGTACTAGTTATATCCATGTAAAAAACTCAGAAATGGCATATAATTGTGTACAGCTTTTGGGGTTGTACTGTGTATTTTCACAGGCTACAAATACATCACTAGGTAAAATATGTATTTACTTTGCTTTAACTTAGTCCCATAGTAAAAAATCCTTTCAGCTGGTTCTACTTTTAGACATTTCTGAATTTAAAAACTACTTAACAGTATCAACAATTAATGTAGTTTAATATAGACTGTACAATCCATTTAATATAAAACCTGATTAAGTCAGTGTTGAAGCTTTAGAAAAGATGTGGTCAAACCACAATAAAACCTTGGAAAAAGTGTGAATATCCTGTGGTAAATTTACCATAGTAACTAAAGGGAATGATTTATTGTTGCTCAATGCAAACCTTAAAGGAACTTCTCAACAAGCTTCTAATTTAGATGCGGTTTCATAATTTCTTGTTCACTGCTTGCTAAGTTCAGACTTTGCCCTGCAAGCAAGCAGTGCTGTACAGTCTAAAAGTTTAACAAGCATTTTTTAAATTCCTTAAGATTTTGTGATTAAGTGCTAAAAATCTCAATGACTACAAAAGGTCCTCTTGCCTATAAAAAGGACATTAAAAATACAGGTACTGTATGTGTACACCAAAGAGAGAGAATGCTCCCTCAGTCAGTTGTTTTAAACATACCTTGTTTAACTCTCATGTACACTGTTCATTAAGTATAAATTAGTTTAATAAGGAGGTGGATTTTCTTGCCTGCCTGGTTTGCTAACATTCCCTGAACAGGCCTTTTGTTACAGTGGCACAAGTTCTAACACTCTCAAACCTGTTATACAGAGTCTGTTTGAACCATACCAGCCACACCTCCTTCAGCAACAACTGGTGGTGAAGCATAACTCTTGTCTCAGATGAAAAACTCACACCTCACTAAGGTGCCCTTGGTGAGGAGAACTTTTATCCAAGGGGCAACTGAAATGAAAAACCTAATTGAACTCAAAGTCAAAAGACAGCAATATCTGATTCACCGGCAAAATGATGAGATGTTCTATAGAAACTGCAGAATGTTAGAATATGAACTTTAGATTTAGCTATTCATAGACTGAAATTATCATCCAAGCCTCTAAATTGCTCAGTGCTATCCTTCAACCAACCAATGTGCCAACCAGCAGTGGCTGCACACAATATGTTCTCATGTTTCCACTTCTCATTGTCTGTCTTCTCTTCTCTAGTAGGCATGCTGAGATAATTGCAGAGCAGCAGTCCACAAAACGATCATGTGCCCAGTGGTGTTTCCCTAAGGTTAAGCTGAATGGATGGTGTTTGTGGACCCAGTTATAACAACCAGAAATAGTAGATTGTATAATAATTCACAATCATTCACTTTTCTATTCAGTTATGCACTTAAGTCGTACGTATTACTTGATGTGGACTGAGTTAAGGCATAAAACCTGAAAAAGGCAAAAGTAGATCTATCTTGTAAAAGAGAAACAAATTCAGCAGGAACCGCATCAGTTTGAACCTAATCTCAGTGTAGTCACTTATCCTCGCTGCATGAAAGTGCCTGGCTTGTTTAATGCTATTTTGTCTTAGAATTCAAAGATGGCAGATTTAATTACCACTTAACAGTCAATTAGGAGGAGATCATTATGTCCACCGTGAAGTGGTTCCTATTTACTGTTACACTGAACTATCTAAAAGACAAGACTGCAATATAAAACAAACAAAATATTTGGACTTTTGCTTTTTTTAGTGTTTCAGTAATTTTAAAGGTGGTTGGGATGGCCTCATTATAACACCAAAGCACCTGTTTTCTGAGACACTAACAAATATGAGGTTGATTCATAACTCTTCTATATATATATTTTTATCTCACCTTGCAGATCTTCCACCACTCCTGTCACCCAATCTTCACCCTTTCA